AAATCAGTCAAAAGAATAATCCCTGTATACAGCCAAGACCCTACTATGGCAAATTAAAAGAGAAGATACTTGTGATTATATGCAAGCATACCTTGCTAAACATCCGAAACAAAATGGGTGTCAATATTTATTGGTGTTGGTTGGTGCTTTTTCTCGATGGCTGGAAGCATTTCCCTTGTGAACTAAACAAACAGAAGAAGTAAGTGAAGTTTTACCAAAGGATCCTATTGGGAATGTCATCAGGCAGAGGACCACACTTTGTGGCTGAGGTGATACTAAAGCTTTAGGAATTATGTGGAACCAGCATACTCCTTGGTGTATGGTAAGGTGGAAAGAATGAATCAGTCACTGAATCAGATGTTCCAGTACTTTATTTTAAACCAGGAGGTTGGATTTATCCGTGAACCTGGAAGGATGAATTTTCAAAGGAACTGTGGAAATGATCTAATCACATTCTTCTTATCACAAATACTGCAGTGAAACTGGAAGGAATTGGACCCTGGATCCATTATGCCCACATTAAGAAAGGTCCTCCAAAGGATAAGTGGAAAATAAAAGGACTTGAGAGGTGCTATTTGAAGTTTAAACTAACACAAGAGGTACAACGAATAGTACCCAGGACCATTGGTCTGTGCTGAATTGGAGTGTTCCTGAGGTTTATGGATTATTCTTTTCTTTAATGTGGTTTTAATTTTTCTATTGGTAATAATACAGAGGCTAGAGTTTTAATTATGTTGTTTTATATGGTAAAGGTCAGGGGGTTGGAAAACAACCTGGTCTTACAGTGAATGCATAAATTTGGGAAGTTACAGAATATTAACAGTATCCCCACTTGCCTATAAATACCAAAGTAAAGATCCATTTCAGTGGGAGGATTTTAAGCCCTGAGAAAACCACTGAATTGAGACTCTTAGTGTAATAGGAGGTTTACAGGAAGGCACTTGAACACATAGAATGGGCCCTTAGGAAACGGATGGACACATTTTGGGAAAGTCCCATGATGTTTTCAATGGGAATGAAGTTCAGAATCAGGTCCAAATCCAACATACGAAGGAGCAATTACTAGTCCAGAGAAAGGGACCATTATACATGAAGAGATCGTATGGTGAAATATAATTGTACTAGCTTTGGACAAGAATGGGTTTGGAATGTTACTGAAATGTGGCAAACCACGGGTGTAATTGTAATTGTAGAAATTCAGAATACACTGGAGGTTGTTCAGGAGATTAAATTCAGAGTGGGACTATTATTCTTCCATTGCTAGGGTATTAAGTGATGTAAATTGGATGGATAATTTAAAAATAAATTCACCTAACCATCGATTTACTACTAGAGCCTTAACCCTTTGCCCACTATGGAAAATGAGTCCACTATCTATGAAGTTCTGGGGGAAAAGGATTGGCTTTTTGAAAATGGAATATTACTATGCAATCTTCCATGGCCAGTGAAAGCCATGCAAATGCTTCAAGTTTTAATAGTTAAAAGCAAGACCAGGACAGTAGGGGAGCACTTTCATAGACACAGTTAGCCCTAAAGTGTTCATTAGTCAAAGGTGGGGAATGATGTGGGTATCTTAAATTAGATAAGGAACATTGTTGGGAAGTTTCTCTTCAAGGAGCCAAGGTGGCTATAAGTAAGTACTACAAGGACAGGGATCCTCAAGTTGAGGCACAAGTAGAAAACAGTAACTGACCAGAAGAGACTAAGTGTCCTTGAGCCCAAATATGGAGCAAGTGAGGAGTGGGATACCTCCCCAGTCGATCCCTGAGGACACTAAAGACCCACGTACAAGCGCAGGAGATTCAAATATGATACCTCATACTTAGATAATGAAAATGTAATAGGTAGGTGTAACTTAAGTAATAAGAGGGAATACAGTGAAAACTTCTGATTATAAATAGAAGCAAGTGGAAAGACTTCATGCACTTGCTTGGGAAAGAATCACATCTTGTGCCCTGTACAGCATAGATCAATGTCTCCTTCTAAACTTTAGTCATCCTGAATGTGTTTTGGAAGATTTAAGATCATCAGCAGCAAAATTTGAGGAGTGATCCTGTTCTCCTATTTCTTGTTGCTTGTGAGGAGCGACCAACCTCTACCTCACTACTTTGAAATAGCTGTAGGAGCAGTAAGGTCACCCTTGAGCCTGCTTTTTACCCACTGAAGAAACAAGGCCCACTGACTCTGTGTGCAACATGTGGAGAGCTGCTTCAGCCAGAAACTGTGCCATCTCATGAAGTGCTTCCCTGGTTGCCTTTCTGATCATAAAAGATGGCCAAGAAATATTCCAATCAGCGGGGCATCTACAGCCCACCTTCTGCCTTGGGTTGCAGTAGGAACTTGGATTCTGTTGATGAGTTAGGCAATGCCATTCCAAAAACATTCTCCAAACCCCCATTTCTTCCCTTCTGTCAGCCTTGCCAGGGAAATAAAAACTCGGCTTTGTAACAACACTTTGCTGCAAGAATTAATTTCACCTGGGCTGTAACCTGTGTGCCTTCTTCCCACCCAAGTACTTGGAGCTCGTTTTTGCTGCATGAATACAAACTGCTTTACCTCACTGTTGTAGAATCGTGTGCTTTTTCCTCTAGAAGAAGTCATACGATACGTGCCATGTGACCAACAAGCTTTGGAAGTTCCAATTCAGCTGACTCAAGCAGTAGGGCAGAAAAGTGTCTTGAATGGGATGAAACGTTGAGTAGGACAACAAAAAGTGGCCCAAGCAGAGCCAGAGCAGAGTGGGAGGGTCCTGCCAAACCCTTGGCCTGGAGTTTGAGATTCAAGCAGGGGGGTGTGGTGTCGGTGCTTTAATCAGGAGAACCTGAACTAGCATCCCGCTCCTGTCAGCCATGCCAAGTGATGCCCTGAGCACTGCACGTAGCAGTACAGGGACCCTCTTTGTCTTTGGGCCAACTCTGACAAAGAAAGTGGCTGCAGAGGGGCTCTTTGCTGTTACCAAGGAAGAAAGTTTCTTGTTAGTCCCCACTAATGAGTCTCTCGGGGCTTGTTAGCAAAGAGCAGTTCAGTTGACTCCAAGGCTCTGAGAAGCTCTCAGGATGAGGACACTTTCTTGGTAAGGCCCAGAAGGGCTTGTTAAGCCGTGACTCCTTGAGGGGTGGTTGGTCTCCAAAGAACACTTTCTGCTCTGAGAAGGGAGCGTCATTGCTTGTGATGGAAACAGCCTGGACCAGCTGGATGACAGGAGCCTGGAGCCCAGGCTTGCTGGAAGAGCTGTCTGTAATCAAGCTAACACGCTTTGGTTGGATCCCACCAATCAGACAACTTGTTCCTGTCTCTTTTTGATCCATGGAACAAAATAAAACACCTAAACAAAGTACTTATTTCCAAACCCTCTTCAGTATGTTGAAAACTGGAGTTGGTTCTGCTCAGGAAAGCATAGGTCGAATGATCAGCACAGCCTTGCTCTCGAAACTCTGCTGGGCAGGGCACTGGAGTTGCAGAGCCACTCTTGGAGGGAGGGAGCTGGGAATGCTCCTCATACTTCTTCTCACCTTTGGACCTTTTCAAGAACACTTCAGGCCTCAGATGTATTGGTGTTCATTGCCTTAGCATAGATGTTCACGTGTATTTTTAGACTGTGAGCCAAACTGAAGCACACTGCGCACATCCTCCACACTTGGCTGGGATTCATAAACATGTATTCTCCCATTTGGAATATGGGATTGGAGAATGTGTGTAGGATTGGGCTCACCTACTTCTTGAAATTGAAAACTTTCTGTCCAAATAAGAGCAAATCAATACACCTCTATCATATGAAGCATTTCAGGATCTGAAGAGCTTACGCTTCTTTGTTGTATCCTTCTGCAGAGGCTGTGAAAAGCAACATATACAAACATAAACAAGAAAAGATAAGTGCTCTTCTTGTAGACATATCTTTTGGGATGTGCAATCACACATTTTCCTCTTTTAAGAAGTATGTTGTCTGTTTCCCAGCCTCCTCAGTTCATCCCCTCATCCTTCACTTCCCAGTTCTTCAGGCTGCAGTTGAAGGGGTTGCAGGGACATTAACACCATGCAGAGCACACAGATACCAGAACACCTCTCACATGACTCATGTTTATTGAAAGGTATGGAGTGTCTAATCATACCACATGGCCAGTATATTCTACATGGAGTAAAGGGTGCTAAAATTCTTTTCCTGGAGTGGTCCTTTCCCTGACTGTTCTCAGTTTAGATATGTGAAAGATCCAGATCTCTGAAAATGGTGGGTATTGCATTCTGCCCCATCTCTGAGTGCCTGCCTGTGCTCATCTCCCAGCATTGCGTCTTGCCTGGCTTCTCTGGGGAGTCATTTGGTAATCCCAAAGTCCCCAAAGCTCACCCTTCCTTTGTGACGGACGTCCTCCTCTTTTGAGCTTTAATAATTAAATCCCCACTTGGAGCAGTGCTGCTAAGTGGGTTCCGGAGTTCTGCATCGGGCAGTCCTCCATGCTGACCTCGCAGAGGTACACTCAGAGAAACATGACAAAGAGACACCCCAACAGAACTGACATGTGTGCGTGAGATGTAGCATAGAGTCAGGTGACAATGAGCTCTTGTCAAATAATGACAACTTCCGACTGAACTTCTCTTAAGCATTCCACATGGCAGTGCTCAGGCTTCCCTGATGTTCCATCCTTGGCATTCTGCTTCTGTCTACCAGAAGAGAAAAACAATCTTTCTAAAGAGTAGTCATATCCCTTCATGTTGGCTGGAATTTGTCAATAAGAGATGAGGGAATAAAGAGATGCTTTTCTTCTTTGATTCCAACCTGCAGCTAGTCACTTCAGCTTTGCCCTGTAACCCTGAAAACAACCAGGACAGCTCTGTTGTGAGTGTCTCCCACCATTGGCTGCATCCCACCTTCTCTAGGACAGACCCCTCAACGCTCCAGCATCTTCCCTTTCCTCTGGGCCCTCTCCATGGAAAGCTGGCCGTGCCCAGCTAAAAGCTGCCCCAGTGTCTGTGGCACATGAGCAGTGCCTTCCTTCTCAGCCCGCTCAGGCAGCCCTCACCTCTTTGTTCCTTAGGCTGTAGACAAAGGAGTTGAGCATGGGGGTGACTGCAGTGTAGAAGATGGAAGCCACTTTGTCCAGCTTGATTGATCTCCTGGCTCCAGGCCGCATGTACATGAAGGTGATAGCCCCGTAGAAGAGGAGAGTGACTGAGAGGTGGGAGGTGCAGGTGCAGAAGGCCTTATGCCAGGTCCTGGGGGAGCGGGTCTGCAGCACGACAGCCAGAATGAGGCCATAGGACAGCAGGTTAGCCGTGCTGGTAGCCGTGCCCTCCACGTAGCTGACAAAGATGAGCATCAGGACATTACTGATGCTGGTGTCAGAGCATGAGAGGACAAAGAGCAGTGGCCATTCATGGTAGAAGTGGTCCAGGTGGTGGGAGGCACAGAAGGAGAGGTGAAGCATGGCTACTGTGTGCACAGTGGAGTTGAAGTCCCCTGCAGCATAGCAGCTGGCCACCAGGCACAGGCACAATCCCTGGGACATCACCAATGTGTACTGGAATGGGTTGCAGGTGACCACATAGCGGTCATATGCCATGGCAGCCAGGAGGAAGGCTTCTGCTGTGCCAAACATGACGTAGAAGTAAAACTAAGTGAGACAACCCTGTAGGAGATGGTTCTGCTCCCTGTCAGGACACTAAGGAAGAACTTTGGGGTGATGCTGGAGAAGCTGATGTCCAGGAGGGAAAGGTGGCTTAGGAAGAAGTACATGGGGGTGTGCAGCCTGGGTTTGCAGTTGATTAAGAGGATCATTCCCACATTTCCCATTAGATTGCTGAGGTACATGATGAGGAACACCACAAGGAGCACTTCCTGCAGCTCAGGGTGAACCCCACAAGAGTAACTCTGTCTCCACGGAGTGATTTGTCCATACCATGGTCAGTGGAAGTAACAAGTGATGGAAGGAAAGGAAACTGGCGTGGCTGTGGTGGAAGTCCGTCTTACACGTGGGAAACCTGCACTGGCTGATGCCTTCCGTGAGTCACAAATAAGGACGTTTGCATTATGCTTAGAAGAATGGTTGTAGAGTTGCCCCTACACATAGTAGATATGATATGCAAATAGAAAGGAAGTCTCTTCTGCTCTTCCCTGCTGCCCCTTCCAGCCAAGCAACTCTCAATCCTGACAAAATTTGGACATGATCCTGAGCTTTCAGCATTTCCAAAGACTGTATCTGTACAAAGTCAGCACCATTGGAAATGAATACTATAATGAATGTTTCACTTCTGCCATTTCTGTGCTTTCATGGAAGATATTTATTATGAAACCGAAAGGTTTCCTAGAAGCTAGCTGGAAAACCTGCAAGATGCACAAACAAAATGGAAATCCCTATCTACTAACAATGTGCCTTCACCCACCTCATGCTGTTCAGGACTGCTCCACCCATCCTGAGACACACAGCCACTCCTGTGTCTATATCTGGGCTCCAGCAACGGAGCATCTCTCTGCTTGTTCTCAGGGCACCCAAAGTGATGACTTGCTGGTGGAGCTCCAGGTTTTATTCTCCTCCAGTGGATATGTGCAATTGCTCATACACCTCTTATTGGGGCTGACATTCTCAGCTCCTCACTGATGATACTCCTCCTGGGCATTAGAGATCTTTCCATCTTTCTCCTTGCAGATTCAAGGCATTTGGAAGTGCCTGACTGATGCAGCTTTCACTGCTTTGGGCACAGCTTTGAGTGGGAAGCAGCTCATTGATAAGTCAGACATATATGCTTTGGGTTCTCCTCGGGTTTCAGAAGCCATGTTGAATGTTGAGAAGTGAAGTGCCGTGAAACAAAAGCAGGAGGAAACAAGCGGCATGTTGAGGTGGCACCTTCTCTCCTAGCTCCTCTGCCTTTCCCTTTGGTTCTGCTCTTTGCTGTCCAAGATGGCATCCCACATGGGCAGATGGGAATCATCTGAACCTCCACAAGGGACAATGCCAGGCCCTGGCCACTACAGGGGACTTTCCTGACTCCAGGGCAGGCTGTAGAGCAGCTTGTCAGAGAAGGACATGAGGGCAGTGGTGAGCACCCATCTGAAGATGAGCATCACCATGTACTTGTGGCCAAGATGAGCCTTTCTTTGGCCACAAGGAAAGCTGCCTCAAGAGGACTGAAGGGGAGAGCTGGAATCTTCCTGAACAACTGATCAGTTGTGTTTTAAAGTGCAGAAAACAGATGGTGGGGTGGTGGATTGTAGAATGGAGGAAGAGAGAAGTGTAGAAATAATGATATCCATTTCTCAGCCAGAAGGATTTCATTTGAATACATGCAGATTTCCCCAGAATACAATAGAGAGGGATAGAACTGACTGGAATGAAACGAAATGAAATGGAGTAGGATGGAATGAGCTGGAATGGAATGGAATGGAATGGGATGGACTGGGATGGAATGGCATGGGATAGAATGGAATGGAATGGAATGGAATGGAATGGAATGGAATGGAATGGGATGGGATAGAATGGAATGGAATGGAAGGGAATGGAACGGGATGGGATAGAATGGAATGGAACGGGATGGGACAGAATAGAATGGAATAAAAAGGAATGGAATGGGATGGAATGGAATGGAATGGAATGGAAAGGAATAGGGATGGGATAGAATAGAATAGAATGGAATGGAATGGAATGGAATGGAATGGAATGGAATGGAATGGA